AGGCAGGATCTGGAGATGCCAGCAACTAATCCCAGCCTTGTGGCTGGGCCAGTGTGCTGTCTGGAGCCAGGATTCAATAAACCTGCAATTCACCTCCTATCTCCTCACTTCGTGCCTCAGCAGCCTCAACTGAAATAGTCACAAGAGAGGAACTTGGCAGTCAGAGCTGGAAAGGCCCACAGTTTTCAGGCCTCAAACTTTGCAATGGGTGAGCGAGCAGAGTCTGAGTTGTAGACTAAGTAGTGGCTAACTGGGTGGCTGGGAGGGGCTAAATGGAGTTCCCAAGCTGCCACCTTCCTCTTCTCTTTATCTGCAAGTGACAAATACGTAATCATATTTTTATGTATCCCATGACACTAGATTAACAAGAACTGCCCCAGTCCAGCTTCCCCATCTTACAAAGAAGGAAACAGACCCAAAGAAGTAAAGTGACTAGCCCGAGCTCACAGAGAGCCAGATCCATTCTACAAAGAGTTATAATTTTCAAACTTTTTTCAAGCAGCTGAGCTTTTCTGCTAATATATTTTTAATTGGCACATAGTAATTGCACACATTCACACATTCCTATGTATATAATGTGTCATGATCAGATCAGGGTAACTGGTAAATCCATCAGCTCAAACAGAGATCTTTTTTTTGTGTTAGGAGTATTCAAAATCCTCTTTAGTCAATATTTTGAAATATTCAGTGAGTTGTAACCATAGTCATTCTCCTGTGCTAGATTACACTAGAAGTCATTCCTCCTATTCCACTGCACCCTTGTATTATCAACCATAAGGAGCAGATTTTCTTTCCCAAAAAAATATTTCAGGATGTCAGGCACCCAAGTTCATAACATAGATATAAATAAACAATGGTTCCAGTTTAAGAGGCATTTGGGGGAGCCAGATCCTCACCCCTAGGGCTTCCTCTCCCCTGGGGGTCCCTGAAGAGCCTCTCTAAAGCCATGGAGCTTCTATTCTGGCAAAGGGACTTAGGAGGCAGGGAGACTGGAGGTTAGAGAGTCAGACATTGGAACCCAGGCAAGAGAGGAAGATTGGGAAGGGGGTGGAAGGAATAGACCCAGACTGGGCTGGGGACTTCAGTTGGAGCAGATGGCATTTTGGGGGAAGCATGACCACAGTGGCACCTGGAGAACATGGACATCTGAGGAAGGCAGCATGAGGAAGGCAGTTGGTGGGGTTAAGAGACCCAGAGGGCCAGGCCAGAGCAGGCTGTCTCCTATCCCCTCTCACTCCTTGTCAGAATGAGGCTAAGACCGGGTCTCTTCTACTCCAAATTCATCTTTGACTTCAGGCAGAGAAAGAGTTCTGCAAAGGCACATCCCAGCCTGGTGCTAAGTAGACTATAGGAAAAAGGCAACCCCAGACCTGAGAGAGGGAAGAAGATAATTCCCGGTTTGGTTGCCAGAAAAAGTGTGTCCTGAACCCCAAAACCCTTTACTTGGGCCTAAGAACATTGCACCCACCCCACTCCACCCACCCTGAGGGCGGGCTGCAAGGCCAAGGCCATCCCGACTGCCAAAGACCCTGGCGCCCCAGTGCCTGGCACCGCCTCCCGCCCCGCCCGGGCGTCCAGCCGCCTAGCTATTGGCTGTCCCCGGAGCCCCCGGCAGGGTAATTAATGAAGGATTAATGGGATTCCCAAAGTCAACAGAAAAATCGATGGGCCGTGGAGCCCGAAGGGCGGCTGCGCAGTCCGCCGGGGAGGGCATCGGGGCCTCTGACCTGGGCGCTGGAGCCTCACCTGGAAGGCAGATCGGCGCTGCGCCCCAGTTGTGGTCAGCCCATGGCGATGGCTGCCCAGGCCTCAGGTAAGACTCCCCGGTGCCGCAGCTAGGACCAGGAGCCCCCTGGACGGCTGGCAGAACATTCCTGAGAAGCCCACTCCGACACTCACACATGTGCTCCAAAGCGGGGTTCAGGAACTAGGGGCTGCAGGGACTGGGAAGAGAGGACAGGGTGACCCTGGAGAGGTCAACTCTTTTCGACTGGAGGTCCGTCCCTCTCGGTCCCCCACCCCAACTCGAGCTTTCCACCTCCTTTCCCGATCTCGGGGCGCAAGAGATCAGCAGGGTGCGCCCCACCCAGACCGGGTCCGCACACGATGCCCAGGCCCAGAAGAAGCGAGAAACCTGGATAGTTGTTTAAAGCGGTATGGGATCCGCGCTGCCTGGACGCAGGGTCTGAGGCACGCACGAAGCCGCTGCCCCTGGGCCTGCAGTCCCTGGGGTGGCTCGGAAAGAAATGCTGAAACCGCCCTGCCCACGCCCATCAGCCTCCTCCTGCGCTCCTGGCCCGCGCCGCGCCCCGACCGCTCCACGGCTTTCATCACCCGCCTCCAAACACGACGCATAAACCAGTCTGGTGTCCCGGACCTCCCTTGGACTGGCGTCTCCCAAAGGGAAGTGCGAGGGAGTGGTGGATTCCTTGTTAGTTCCAGGTGACCCTTTCGTGCCCACCACCACACCAGGCCCAGTGGTAATTCGCCCCCTACACACACACACTTTTTTTTTTTTCCTCTATGTAGCCCAGAGTGGCCTCAAACTTGAGAACCTCCTGCCTCTTGCCTCAGCCTCCCAAGTGCTGGGATTACCGACATGAGCCACCACACCTAGCAGAATTCATGAATTTGATAGCTCTCTTTAGTGGCTGCTGGAGGGTTGAACCCTGGTATGGGTGCCAGAGGGGGTAATTGTCAAGGCGAGGACCTGGAGGGAGAGGACTTGGAGCCTTGTCCCCCAGTGTCCCCTCTAGGCCTGAGGTCCAAGCAAAACCCTCTGAAATTCACCAACAACCCCAGCCCTTCCAGTCTTTACAGGATCTGAAAAGAACTGCATGAAAATTCACCAATAGCAAACACAGGGCTTTCCGTGTGCCAGGCCCTGTTCTACACATACATACATGTAATAAATCATTAAGTTCTGACAAAACACCCATGAGATAGGTATCATGCATTATCCTTCATTTATTCATTCAAGAACATATCAGGGCCTGGTCTGGTGGAGTGGCTCAAGTGGTAGGGTGCCTGCCTAGCAAACTTAAGGCCCTGAGTTCAAATCCCACTATCACCAAAAAGTATCCCAGTTTCAGTGCCCTTTGCCATGCATGATGGTGCACAGCCACAGTCCCAGCTACTTGGGATGTGCAGGTAGCATCATGGTTCCAGACTCGTCCCAGGCAAAAGCAGGAGATCCTATCCGAAAGCTAAAGCAAAAAGGGCCAGGGAAATGGCTCAAGTGGTAGAATAACTGAGGCTCTGAGTTCAAACCCTAGCACTGTGAGAAGGAGAAGGAAGGGAGGGAGGGAGGGAGGGAGGGAGGGAGGGAGGGAGGGAGAAAGGGAGAGAAAAAGGAAAAAGAAAGAAAGAAACGTGGGCTGGGGATGTAGCTCAGTGGTAAAGCACTTGCCTATCATGGGCAAGGCCCTGGGTTCACCAGCACCACAGAGACGAGAGAGAGAGAGAGTGAGAGGGAGAGAGAGAGTTGCAAGAAAACAAAGAAAAGAAAAAGAAGCTAGCCACAGGTGTCTCATGCCTGTAATCCTAGCTACTCAGGAGGCAATGATCAGGGGGATGGCAGTTCGAGGCCAGCCTGGGCAAACAGTTCAAGAGACCCTATCTTGAAAATAACCAACACAACAAAGGGCTGGTGGAGTGGCTCATGGTGTAGGCCCTGAGTTCAAACCCCAATTCCACAAAAAGAAAAAAGAAAGAAAAGAAAAAGAGTTTGTTGAGTGTCCTCTATGCCCTTGTCATTGCCATTCCACTGTATTTTCAATTCACAAATAAGGACACTGAGGCTCAGAGTCCAAGTCACAAAGAATCAGGACTCTTGATCTTCAGAGTAGCCTAGGTGAGGGTGCAGGGAACAGGTTTCAGGGTTGGCCAGGTAGCACCTTGGCAGACAAGGAGTGGGGAGGTGTGCCTGTGATCCCAAGCCTTGCTCAATCTGCATGAGGGAGGAAAAGATAAAGAAAGCCTCCTCCTCTGTGGCTGTGTGGGAAAGGTTAATAGGGAGGGTCTCTGTCCACAGCTCCAGTGCTGAAAGATTCCCAGAAACTGCCAGCATTCAGGGGGCAAACATTGAGCAAGTGTCATGACATTTGCCCAATGTTAAGCAGGACCTATTTTCTGTCATGGCACAGCTTCTGACCTCAAGAGGGACCAGTGACACGCACAGCACACCTAACAGTGCACACCCTCTCTCAGCAGAGAGGAGTGGCCCAGCAAAGTAGCCACCAGCATGGTTGGAACAGAGGGAAGGCTTCCCTGGTGGTGACAAAGATGGGCAAGGGCCATTGGTGGGAACTGGTAGGTGAGGCAGAAGGAAAAGCCATTTGCAGGTCCCCTTCATCCCTTCCCTCCTTCCATGAATCCAGTGGGTGTCTCTAGACCTTTCGAAAGTCATTTTATATGCACTCCTACGTCCCCATGATAGAGCATTATTTCAGATCACAGCATTCTTTCCCAGCAAGCCCAGACTTAACCTTAGAATCCTTCTCAACACAGCACTGTAAGCAATCATACCCCACTAGTCAGACTCAAGAGTCAGAGAAGACCCTACTTGTCCTCCTCGATGCCAGGGGTGGAATTTCTCCTACAAGTTAGAGGGCGCACATTGCCTTATTTGGTGAAAAGTCAGCTCTAGAAGCTTCCCAGTGGTCAGGTAGTACACACATAGCCCCCAGCTTCCTGGACATATGTCATTCACTCCATTTCAGGATGAGACAGAGTCAGGAAGTGGGGTGACCCAGTCAGGGCTGAGGTGGGGGAGAAAATTCTCAAGCCGGTTCAATCATCCCTTAGGTTTATGGGCAACACAGAGGGCTCTGTCTCTAATCTATTTAGACCTCCTTAGGTCCTATAAGGTAGATGGGGCAGCTGAAATGTCCCCACAAGCATGCCCAAGGTCATACAGCGGTGAGGGCACTGAATCAGATCAGCCCAGAGCCAACTCAAAACCCTTTCTCCCTCCTCCAGCCACTGCTGAGGTTCCACCTATGCCCTCTCCAGAAGCCCAAGTGACGGAGAACCGAGTGGACATGGGGGCCGAGGAGACAGGGACCCTTGGTCCCCCCAGGCAGAAGTCCTGGCTGGTGCGGCATTTCTCACTGCTGCTGCGGAAGGACCGGCAGGCCCAGAAGGCCGGGCAGCTCTTCTCGGGGCTCTTGGCCCTCAATGTGGCATTCCTGGGTGGGGCTTTCATCTGTAGCATGATCTTCAACAACGTGGCAGTCACTCTGGGTGACGTGTGGATCCTGCTGGCTGTGCTGAAGGTTCTCTCCCTCCTCTGGCTCCTCTACTACATGGCTGGCACCACACGGCAGCCCCACGCCGTGCTCTATCGCGACCCTCATGCAGGACCCATCTGGGTGCGGGGTGAGTGCAGGCTGCTGGTGGATGGAGAAGGCTGGGGAGGGAATTCTGGCCCCAGGGCAGGTGCCAACACCTGCCTGGCCTGGCCAGGCTCTCTCGTGCTCTTTGGCAGTTGCACCATTTGCCTGAACATCTTCCGAATGGGATATGATGTGAGCCACAGCCACTGCAAGTCAGAGCTGGAGCTCATGTTCCCAGCTATCGAGATTGTCTTCATGGGCGTCCAGGTGACAGGCCTCACCCACTCCCATGCCACCAAGGACACACCCTACCCACCCAGGCCACATATGCACCCCCGCCACCTGTACCAAAACAGTCACAAAGGCAATGCCTCGGTGCCCCAGGGTGTAGGCACATACACCATAGCCCCTACTAATGCCCACCTCCGTGTGCCCACGTCCACACATATGGACCTACGTTCACTCACATCAGCACACACACCGAGTCTCCAAAGGAAGACAGCTAGAATCACATCTGCCTATACATATTTGCATATGTCTAAATAGTCACTCCCCAAGCTGGGACACCAGTGGCTCACGCCTATAGTCCTAGCTACTTGGGAGGCTGAGATCAGGAGGATCCAATTTTAGCCACTGGCCCAATATCACACAGCAAAATTCTGGCAGAGCCAGAATTCCAATCCAGTCTTCCCCACTGGGTCCTCCATTGCAAATACACACAGGTAACTGGGGCACATGCACACCGTGGTCCCACCCCCGACCAGTCCTTGGACTCAAGGCCCTGTCTCTTTCAGACCTGGGTGCTCTGGAATCATTGTAAGGACTGTGTTCAGGTTCAGACCAACTTCACCAGGTAAGACTTCTCTCCCTCCCAAACCTCCTAGGCTCTCAGTCCTCCCCACAGCTTCTCTGGACAAGGGAGCCCTGCAGCTGTGGCTTAGTCTGGGAGTTGTCCCAGGGACTCGAAGGGCTGCCTCTTAAAGTCCTAATATCACATGGGACCTGCCTTTGGGACTGAGTGGTCGCCCCAGCAACAATCAATCAATGGTAGGATGGGGACCCGTGTGATTGGAGTGTGGCTCTTCCTCCAGGTGTGGCCTCATGCTGACACTGGCCACAAACCTACTGCTGTGGGTTTTGGCCGTAACCAACGACTCCATGCACCATGAAATTGAGGCAGAGTTGGACGCCCTCACAGAGAAGTTCTCAGGTACAGAAAGGGACCAGCCCTTTCCCCAGCGCACATGTGCACTCAAGTTGGGAGCAGACCCTAGAGGCTGGGTAATGATTAAAAAAAACTTCAGTGTCTCGATGGTACCCTCTGTTTGCAGTCAGGGGCTGGTCCCCTGCACCCCACTCCCCACAGCCATTGGCTGTTAGCAAGCCAGTCACCAATCCCTGGCTGAGCTAGTCACAGAAGTCCTTCAGGTATGTACTCCACCCTGGTATCTCCATTTTACTTCCAAGAAGGTAAAAATCCTTCAGAGCTGAAAGCAAGGTTTCTCCAATACAATTTTAGCTACTGAGACATATCAGGAGTGACAGAAGATTTGTGGACAGAAAGCTCTCCCCTGATTGTCCCCTATGCCTAATCCTCAACCCATACAATCTGCCCTTAGAAGCTAAGTCCTATAAACCCACAGGGGAACCTTGCAATCTGTGGGATTGAGCCCCACCCGCATGTCTACTCCCCTGCCCTGCCTGCAGGTAGCATCGTGACCTGTGTGCATTTACATGGCACACCACAAGCTGTGGGCTTTTTTTTTTGGTGGGACTGGGTTTGAACTCAGGGTCTTGAGTTTTGCAGGGAAGTGCTCCATCACCTGACCATGCCCCCTGCCCTTTTGCTTTATGCATTTTCCTGCACAGGGTCTTGAGTTTATGCCTGGGCTGGCCTGAACCAAGATCTTCCTATCTATGCCCCTCAAATAACTGGGATGACAGGTGTGTGCCACCTCGCCCAGTTTTTATTGATTGAGATGCTGTCTCACTATACTTTTTGCCCTGGCTGGCCTCAAACCTTGGGTTTTGATCCCTGTCTCATGAATAGGTAGGATTACAGACATGAGCCACAGAATCCAGTGGGCATTTTTATACAGTTTATATTTTTCAGAAAAGTTATGCAAAGAGAATTTTGGGCAAGTGACACCATAGATTTTTTTTATTTTTTTTTAACTCAATGGCTGGGGGCATGGCTCAAGTGGTAGAGCACCTGCTTAGCAAGCTGCAGGTCTTGAGTTCAACCCCCAGTACTGTCTACATGTAGATAGATAGATAGATAGATAGATAGACAGATATAGATGGATAGATGGATGGATAGATAGAAGATAGATGAATTAAAGTACAGGGAATAGCTAATTAAAGTACAGGGAATAGCTGTCACCTAGGTATAGTAATTATTAGTATTTGGTCACATTTAATTTTTTACCAAAGTACTGAAAGTAAGCTGCAGAAAACATGGCATTTTATTTCAAACATTTTAGTATGCGGCTCTATAAAAAGAAGCGTAAGAGCAGGGTGCAGTGGCTCATACCTGTAATCCCAGCTACTCAGAAGGCAGAGACTGGGAGGATCTCAGTTTGAGGCCAGCCCGAGCGAAAAATTTGAGAGACCCCATCTCAACTAGTAACTGGGCATGGTAGGACATGCCTGTCATCCTAGCTACATTGGTCAGCACAGGTTGGCTGGGGGTGGGGAACTGAAACCCTATCTCAAAAATAACCAATGCAGAAAAGGCTAGGGTCATGGCTCCAGTGGTAAAGTACCTGCCTAGCAAGAAAAATGTCCCCAGTGCCACCAAAACAATGACAACAAAAGAAGAGCCAGGCATGGTGGTTCATGCCTGTAATTCCAGGGCTCAGGAGACTGAGACAGGAGAATTGAGAATTCAAGGCCAGCCTGGGCTACATAGTGAGACCCCCCCCCATCTCAAAACATAAGCAAAAGAAAACAAAAACTGTAGAGTGCCTGCTTTGCAAGTGCAAAGGCTTGAGTTCAAACCCCAGTCTCACACACACACACACACACACACACACACACACACGCGCACACACACACACACACACACACACGCGCACGCGCGGTGTATTTCCCTCTGTTACCACACGCTGTTGTAATGGCCAACACAATTCATCATCCAGTCCTCAATAAGAATCTGTACCCACTTTCTCGTGTTAGCCCAGGCTCTGTCTCCGTTGCCTTAAGGGTGCAAAGTTTGGTTAACTCTCAGGTGTCTGTCCCTGATGACATCCAGGCTCCCCACTTGCTTCCTAGGGGTGGCACTCCCTGCTGTTCCTAGAAATTGGAAGTGTGGCCCCAGTGTCATTTGGGCATTTGGGGCACTGGCAGATCCCCAGGTGCTTCAAGGAGCGGCTTTTCCTGTGCCCACGGCGCTGAGTCTGATTACCTAGCGTGCACTGGCTGCTCAGGGCTGTCGCTGCACTCAGGTGTGGCAGCCAGGTCCCCCACTGTAAATTACAGCTTTGCCCTGCCCAGCAAGTGATTTGTGGAGATGACATTTGACACTGGAAACATCATGTTTTGTTTTGTTCTTTTTTTTTCTTTGAGATAAGGTCTCATTATACACCCCAGATTGGCCTCAAACTCGTGATTCCTCTGCCTGAGCCTCTCGGGTGCTGGGATTCCAGCAGTGCTCCATCACACCCAGCCACATGTTTTAAATGCTTTACCTAAGCTTGGCACCTGAAGTCTTGAATCTCTTTGTAAAGGAGTGACCATTTTGCGATTTCCAATCCCTGTGTCTGGGTCTCAGATGTTCCCACGGCTGTAAAATGAGCAGCTGACCGGGTCCCTTCTACCTCTGACATGTTCCAGGACGGGTTGAGAAGGACTGGTATTCCTCCACCAGTTTCCTCTGAGTGTCTGTCCCCTCCTGGCCCTGGCCCCTTCCAGGCAATGGCACCAACACCTGCCTGTGCCTCAATGCCACAGTGTGCGAGGTCTTCCGAAGGGGCTACCTGATGCTGTACCCGTTCAGCACCGAGTACTGCCTCATCTGCTGTGCCGTGCTCTTCGTCATGTGGAAGAACGTGGGGCGTCACCTGGCAGGGCACGTGGGCGCCCACCCCAGGAGTCCACCCTTCCACTGCACGGGGCCATCTTTGGCCCCTGCTGGGCCTGCTGGCACTGGTGGCCGGTGTGTGCATCTTCGTGCTCTTCCAAATCGCGGCAAGTGGCCCTGACATCGCCCGCCAGTACTTTACCTTCTACTACGCCTTCTACACGGCCATCCTGTCCGCCATGAGCCTGGCGTGCCTGGCAGGCACGGCCATCCACGGGCTGGAGGAGCGTGAGCTGGACACGCTCAAGAACCCCACCCGCAGCCTGGACGTGGTGCTGCTGATGGGTGCCGCGCTGGGCCAGATGGGCATTGCCTACTTCTCCATTGTGGCCATCGTAGCCACCCACCCGCACGAGCTGCTCAACCAGCTCATCCTGGCCTATTCGCTACTGCTCATCCTCCAGCACATCCTTCAGAACCTCTTCATCATCGAGGGGCTGCACCGTCGCCCACTCTGGGAGGCAGTGCCCGAAGGCCTGGCAGGGAAGCAGGAGGCTGAGCCTCCCCGCAGAGGCTCCCTGCTAGAGCTGGGCCAGGACCTGAGGCGGGCTTCACTGGCCTACATCCACTCCTACAGCCACCTCAACTGGAAGCGGAGAATGCTCAAGGAGATCTCCCTCTTCCTCATCCTCTGCAACATCACAGTGAGTGGCTGGGCAAGGGCTCAGGTGATGGGGATGCTGGCTAGGCAGACCCAGAAAGCCTCATTCAGGAAGGGCTGGATCAAGATCACATGCTTCTTTCCTACTGGCTCCATGCTGCTTGAGAGCAGAGAGTGTTGTCCCTTCCTCCACCAACATCCCTTCCAGCTGCCTGGAATGAATCTGTGTGGAGCACATATCTAAGTGCTTCTTACAAAGTTGCAAGATTTCTGCCCTCAGAAAGGCAGAGAATAATAAATTGTCTCTGAAGTGCAGAGGGCTCAAGAAGAGACATGGGACCCTGTGGCCAGGGCAGTCTTCAGAAGGATTCATGTGTAGGATGAGCCAGGAAGTGGGAAGGGACAGGGGTGTCTGAGCTCAGTGCATGGGGGAGTCAACTGCAGAGCAGCTTTGCTGTTGTCTTGCCATGTTGGAGGCCACCTGGGGCCTGTGACCCATCTGGAGTTCAGGCTGGCCCCAGGGAAGCCAAGGAGGTGGCTGAGGCCCTCTGTGGAATGGAACAAGAAAAACTTGCGGGAGAGGAGCTAGCTCCAACAGACCAAGATGATGGGGTGGGAGTGGTGCCAGAGGAGTCACAGGTTCTGGGCATGCCTCCCCTGACTGAGTGTCTTGAGGGGCAGGAGAGCCCGCCCCCCAAACCCTCGTCTCTCTCCCCACAGCTGTGGATGATGCCTGCCTTTGGCATTACACCCGGAGTTTGAGAATGGCTGGAAAAGGATTTCTTACGGCTACCGGGCGTGGTTCACCATCTGTCAACTTTGGCCTGCCTTTGGGGTCTTCTACCGCATGCACTCTGTGGGGGTCTGGGTGGAGGTCTATTTGCGGGGCCTGACACTGTTCAGGAGAAGCCCACCCTCAGCAGAACCCTGAAGTGCCAAGGCACAGAAGAAGGTAGCCCGGAGTATCTGGGCAGACTCCTCTTTCCAAGAGGTGAAGAGATCCAGCCAAGCTCCAAGGCCTCCCCCTCCCCAGAACCTGCCGAGAGGGCACAAACTCTGCTTATGGCTCAAGATCAAGGGCAGGACCTCAACACTGAGCTTTGGATACCCATCCAGGCCTGGCATAGGCCTACCCTGTGCCTCATCACACAAGCCAAGCAGCCAAGGGGGCGCCCTGGGAGGCTGGCGAGGGCCCCTTTCACTACTCTCTGGAAGGGTGAGGCCTGAATGATGGAGTTGAGAGGATGCCCTGCCCCAGCCAGGTCTCCTGTGGGAGAGGCACACAGTCCCAACATGGTCCAGGACATCCTGAAAGCTCAGAGTCCTGTGCTCAGAGCACAGAGCTTGGCAGGTGGCCCTGCTCCCCTCCCCTCACACACCCTGTCTTCTAACAAGCCCATTAATTAGCTGCCAGGCAGGGCTCAACAGCTCTCTTCTGCTGTCATAAACCCTGTTTGTTTGATTGATTCTATTTGAGCTTTGTGGCATTTGTTCCCCAGGACAGAACTGTTACCCTAGGCATAGTGAGAAGGATGGTTCTGGGCAGGGCTGTGGCCCAGGAGAGTCCTGTTTCTGGGGCAAAAGAGATCTAACCCAGCCCTTTCTTGTCTGAGCCACATGAAAAGGTGGGAAGAGCAGGGTCAGGGCCCATGCAACGCCCATTTCCACCCTCTCTCTGGTACAGAGCCTTGGGGATTTTATGCAGTGGGCTCACCACAAGTGGTCACTGTAGCCTCTGGTGGCCCCATTCCTAGAGATCTGATCCTCTGAGTCATCAGGTGGGGCAGGAAGGTGAGAGGACAGAACTGTCAGCCCATCCATCTTCCTGAGCCAGTGCAAGCAGCAGCCAGTGCACAGGGCGAGGCCCAGGGTGCGGCCCGGCCCTGCAGCCGAGGTTTGCCTTGTCCTGGACCCCAATTCCATGAAGCTAGGCTCTGGCAACAAAGCCCAAGGGCTGCCAAATCAGTCTCTGGTTGCCCAAGACCACGCAGGGGCTTGGAGTCAGGCCTCCCACCTCTCCTGGGCGGCCTTTTCTCCCGGTGGCCAGAGCCCAGGTGATAGGGTCCAATCCTATGGTCTCACCTGAGAACATGACAAATGCTGGCTCCCAGCCATGGGTAAAGGGCCCTCAGAGGACTAACTCTGGGGTGCAGTGTCCCCAGAAGCCCTAAAGATAAAAACTCCAGCCTAGGACCTCCCCCAATTCCAAGCATAGAGGCAGGGTGTGAGAGGGAGGTTTTATTGTATAAGGTAACCGATTGTACAGAGCAAAGATTGTACTGACACAGATAGGGTGACAGAGACCCAGAGGCCAGAGCTAGAACAGGTGAAGGGGGCCCCCATCATCCAGAAAGTGGGTGGGGCAGGGACTGGCAGCTAACCCCCAAGGCCCCCAACAAGTCAGGCTACACCACACTGACCCAGGGAGTATAGCTGGGCCCCTCGATATCCTCTGCAAGTCCCTCAAATACATGAGCTCCAGTCTGGCTTTGCAGGCTGCCATGCCCAGCCTCCTCAGCTAGCAGCTGGACCACACTCCTTTCCCCATGGGCCCTGGGCAGGAAGCAAGCCAAGAATGGGTGGTCTCAGGCTAGGCAACCAGAAAAGCTTCCTCCCCCTGCCCAGGTACCTCGAGGGACAACCATGGCTTCTTCTGGGGCAAACCCATTAGGGCACAGTGACCCAACAGGCATAGTGACCTGGTGGCTTCTGGGGGTGGCCAGTACATGAGTGGCTGGCACTGAGAGGCCAGCACAGAACCAGGTCTTGAAGGGGAAGCCAGAATTGGCAGAGGCTCTGGTGGTGGGTCTGTAGCCCTGGACTTAGGAGGCTCTTAGGATCCCAGCCTAGAGGTGGGGGAGAAGGGGAGGCAGGCACAGAGCTGGTCCCCCTCATCCTCAGCTACAAGGGGCCTCTGGGGCCTGCCACCTGGGACTCAGCCATTTTGCCTGCCCCAGGCCCTGACAGTGATCACTTAAAGCTCGGAACGTTGGGTTGAGGGACATCCAGGACCAGGCCTGGCCCTCCTGGCCCATCTGCCTTGCAGTTGTCCATCCTCACACCCGCTGGATCTCAAACAGCTTCACGTCAGTGTCATACCAGATGGGTGGGTCCACGTTCCTATAGAGGGAGTGTGGACTGTCACTTTTCACGGGGGAACACCTTGCAGCCAAGGCTCCAGGGAGGAGCTAGGTGGCAACAAAGCCCAAACCAACATCCACCCTGGGTGACAGGTGTCCCACCCCAACCAGACAAGGCCACCTTGATTCACTCTCTGGACAGTAACCCCACTACAGATAGAAGGACTCTCTAGCCTTGCTGGGCAGGCCCTCAGGCAGACCCCAGTGGAGACAGTAACTGCCTGTCTCCCACAGTGCCCACCTCAGGTAGATGACACCCCACATGTAGGTGCGGAACCACATAGCAGTGCCCGAGTTGGCCTGGTACTTGCGGATGAGGATAGGGTGGGGTACGGGCAGCAGCCCCACCAGGGTGCCATGCTGCAGGAACCTCAGGATCTCCGATTCATCTGTCAGACCCCTACGGGGAGATGAGGGGGCTCCAGCATGTTCACGTGAAGTAGGGGGCTCGGGGCTCATCCTGGAACCCCAAAGCCTACCCTCTGCATCATCCATCACGCAAGCCTGGGCAGGCCCCTCCCCTGCCCACCTGCCCGCTCAGCCTCAGACCCACTTGTCAATGCAAATCTTCTCCACCTGGGGAACCAGCACCTGCAGTAACCTCATGATGGTCTGCAGCGGCAGCTTGGATTTCCAGGAGAGGACCTGTGAGAGGGACAGGGCTCTGAGGCCTTGGGAGCTGGAACTGTAGGACACGCTTGACCTTGACCTGCAGCCTGGTTCCCCAGGGCAGAAAGTGTGCATCTCCTCCCCACCACCTTCAGCACAAAGCAGGGCCCAGCAACTAATGGGACTTTGGTCACATGGAGCAGTACTGCAGGCCAGTGTGTGTCATGTGCCTTTTGGGAGATTGTCCCCTTTCAATCCTCAAGAGGATATGACAAGGTAGGACACTTAGTATCCCCATTCCAGGGTAACGTGTGGGACTCTTGGGGAGCACAGAGGGAGTGGGAAGCAGTACTGCATGTAGGGAAGCTGACGGAGAAAGGCCAAATTCCTGCACCAGCTGGAAGACTGTCCCCAGCCCAGGTGCCAGACCAAAGGCCTTCATTTGTTTTGTGTGTGTGTGTGTGTGTGTGTGATTGGATTTAAATTTAGGGCTGCATGCTTGCAAAACAGCATCACCTCCAGTCTCAGATGCCTTCATTCAGACACATTCCCTTCCACATCTTTACTGAACTGTTCCCAGGATGAGAATGGGGTCTGACTTAGCCCCACCTCAGTGCCATCTCCCCAAACCCCAGACCCCAGCTCCTCCAGGGAAGGTCCCTCACCCAATCTGATGTTGGGTTCCACTGGCCACTGGCTGACGAGCTGGACAGTCGACGCTGCTCCCTCCAGGCCTGGCTGGGTTCCTGGTCCCCGAGAAAGAATGGAAGTGATGAGAAAGAAGTGGATACAATGGGGTCAGAAGGCAATGAGGTCTCTCCATGGCCCCTGGGGGGGCTCGCTTCCAACAGAGGGGCAAGCCCAGCCTTGCACCCTTTGCCCCGGCCCCCAGGCCCAGCCCTGCCCAACCCAGCCCAGCCCAGTGACAGGTTTAGGGCCCCAGAGCAGGCTGGGTAAAGGCCAGCCTCAGATAAGACTGACGGATGAGAAAGTTGAAGGTCAAGGGCTTTACTGTGACCAGTAAACAAGGGAGGGGTCTGTAAGCACATTCCCCCCCCCCCAGTCAGTAGTGTCAACCCTGATGCCCTGGGCACTGGCACCTGTCTGGCTATGGGTGACCCAAGAGTGCCATGGCCCAGCCCACATCAGGGAAGCCAGGGCAACACCTAATTTTATCTTCCTCAGGTGTCCCTAACACCCACCCCCTTGACTGGGCTGCTTTCAGCTGAGCTCTGCTGGTGTTCAGGCTCCAGGGATCGCAAGGTGCCATCTTCTGACACCTGGGACTTCTCTGTCAGTTTGTCAATGCCTGGATGGGACACAGAAATTCGTGAGGAACCACTATGGTGCCACTTCTGGCCTAACCCCCATGAGGCCCCCTGTCCTCCGCCCACTGCAGAGACACTGTGTTTAATCTCCCCTCACCCCGACCCCTGTGCCCATGCCTCCAAGAGCCATTTCCATCCTTGAGGCCCTGCCCCCATGAGCTACAATTCCGGAACCCACCCAATACCTCCACCCCCACCTCTTCTTCATCTCCACCCCCTCAGAGTCCCCAGAGATCACGCCCATCCTCTGATGGTGTTGGTAGCCACAACCCCTCCTGCCTGCCAGCACCAGACCTGGGGTAGCCACCAGGCTGGCCTTGAGGGTACCAGGCTCTGCAGGGGCGGCGGGGCGGGAGCCCTCCATGGAGGTGCCTTCCTGAGAGCCTGTGCGGGACAGGGGCTCAGGTGTCCGCCGGCGCCTCTGGAGAGCCTTGTGGATGGTGGGCAGATCTGTGGGCAGGTTGGCCAGCTGGTGGAAGACACCACGCTTACGAATGATGGCATAGACCAGGTTGGAGTTGCCTATAGGGAGCAAGCATAGGACTCTGCCTTAGGGAGGCCTCTCATTGCCCCCCCCCCCACCCAATCTGGGCTGGGCCAGTTTAGGGAAAAGGAGTTTAGAGGACAAGAGAGTATCTTCCACAGAGGAAGAAGATGGTACAGGGGGCCAGAGAGGGAGTGAGGGCATGGCTGGCGCAGCTGTGGGAACACATAGCTATTCCACAGAGGGTTGAGCAGGGGATGAACAGCTTCTGGCCTGAGCTCTCATAAACACCCCTCTTCTAGCTCCTTTGAGACCCCTTCACAATACCTGTCACCTTGGGGTGGGCCCGGCCTGGCACTGTCCACACCAAGCCTGCTGTTAAATAGTTTGACTCCCTAAGCCAAGGAGAAGTGGAGGAGGGAACATGGCATGTACCTGTTCTCCATCTAACTCCTAGTTCCCACAACTCTCAGGGGTAGACACAAATGCTTCCTAGGGTCTTCATTGCCCTATTCACCTTTCAAATCCTATGTCATGCCACACTGTCCTACTTTCAGTTCAACATCCTTCCCAGGGCCTTTGCCCCACTCCCATTCATCCCTTACAGATCAGTTCAGACACTATGCAAAGTACTTTTTGTAGCTTATTTCACTTAATTTTCTCAATGCCCTCTGAGACAGGGGCTCTCTACCATTATGACCATCTTAGAAATGAAGAAACTGAGGCTCAGAGAAGTTAAGTAACATGTCAACGTCACAGAGCTAACATGTGGCAAGTCCTGAATTTACACCTGGCAGCTGGCAGCTGGGATATTGAGCAGGGCAGCTGTTGTGATAGCCCTCAGGGTCCTACCACTCTGAGCTTGTCTGCCATCAAGTTTCAGATGAATCCTTTAATGGAGGGGGGGGGAATAAGTCTGTTTAAAGTCTCCCTCTGTGACTCTATGCCCAACTCTGAGGTCCAAAGAGCAGGAAGTACATCTTCTTTGTTCGCTACTATATCCCCTGCACCCAGGTACACTGCAAGTGCTCAGTAAATGCACACTGAAAGAATGAACCAAGAGGCAGAAGGCTAGCACCTCCTTGTAGGCAGTTCCTAGGCTGTGACCTCCTTAGACAGGAAGGTACCCTCACTCACTGGTCGTTCTGCCCCCTGCCTCTGAGGCAGGTGCCTCACCATCAAACTGGTACTGGATGATGTTGTTGAAGACCTCCAGGAGGAAGAAGACCAGGTGGTGGTTCTGGGCAGCAGAGAAGAGGAACCAGGTGGTAGAGAAGGCCTCTAGCAGGTGCAGCAGCTTATTGGCCGTCACCATGGAAAGGCTCTTGAGGTAGGGTGACACTGCAAGGCAAGGGTCAATTCACTCCTGGGCCTCCACCAGCCACCCTTGTACCTCCCAGGCTGGGACAGAGAGCATGCTCCTACTCCAAGCTCCCTCCCCCCCAACACCCTACCTGTGCCGGCTTGTGAGTCCCTGAAAAACCCAAGCCAAGCCTCTGGAGGCCAAGTTCACTCTGGCCATACTTCCTGCAGAGCTCCAGGAGGCGGGTAGGCTCTCCCACCCCCCTCAACGTCAGAGCCACACACAGCTCCTCTCTCTCAGCCATCCCACAACTTGGGAGGGACTCAGGACACAACTGTTCCTGAGTCAGATGGGAAACTCAGGGAGGGTTATAAACTTGACCCAAGTTCCCCCAAGAATAAGATGACTGGGTAAGGTTAGACTCACAAACTCAGGACTTCACATCTTTCGACACTGTCAAGCTGCTGTATCATTGGATTTTCTTTTTTTAATGCTACTGGGGATTGAACCCAGGACCTTGAGCTTGCTACCACTTGAGTCACATTGGGCTGAGGGTACATCCTGGTCACTTGTGAGCCCCAGAGGTCAGGGACAGGGCTATCTTGTTCACAAGTGGCCCCACTTAGTTAAGATGTATGGGATGTAGCCAATGAGTGAGCTCCTCCACTTAGGGAAGGTACAGAGTTCACAGCCCAGTTAGAAGGCCTCTGAACCACCCTGGAGTCCAAATCAGCTACTCTTGCCTCCATCATCCTCTCCAAAAGGCAGCTACACTGAGGCCATTCTGCTCCAGCCCTCCCAACTTGTGGGACCCCCGAACCCTAGCCAGCCTGAGCCCTTCTGCCTCTGTTCCCACACTACCTTCCTCAGTCCTTGCTGTGGGGCCGGGAAAAGGCAGAGAGGAGGCAGCTTCGACATCCACACACGTGACTCAAAATGCCCAAACTTACACTGTCCAGCTGCATGTGGCTATTAAGAGCTGAAAACACACCTAGTCCTAACAGATGTGCTGTATGCATGGGACACATACAAGATTTTGAAGAATGGGTGTGAAACAGATACAAAATACCTCATTAATAATTTTTATATTGGATACATGTCAAGGTGACATTATTTTGGATACAGTAGATTAGATAAAATATATTGTAAAACTTATCACCTGTATCCTTTATTAGCTTCTATATTTTGGTGGTAGTGGGATTAGAACTCACAGCCTTTCACTTGCTAGACATACGCTCTATCAATTGAGCCACGCACCCAGCCCACCTTCTGTTATTTTTTTAATATAGTACTGAAAAATTCAGCAGTGCACATGGGGCTTGTATTCTTTTTCTGGGGGATGAAGCCAAGGGAACAGGTGCCTGGTTGGCCTATGGCCTGTCGCCACCTGGTGGTGAGAACGGGGAAAGCAGGTTCCCAACTCCTACCGTTGACCACGATGGTGAGCAGGCAGTCAAAGAGGGGCTGCAGCCGCTGGTGGCCGCTGGTGATGAGCTTATGAAACACCTGTGCAAAGAGGGGGAGGTACCCACTACCTCCAGATCCAGCCAAGAGGACGTCATCTCCACACCCCCAGGGCTGGCCAGGAGGCTCCTCACCACAATGAGCAGGTCGGCGTGAGTGCCCGTGAAGACGGGGATGTCCATAGGCACACGCACTGAGTAGGGCTTGTTCAGCCGCACCCCGAAGTTCCGCTCCCCACTCAGAAGCAACAGAATGAAGACCCCAATGTGCATCAGGCCCACCCGAGCTGCAACACACGGCACAGGAAGGGTCACTCCGGGCAGGGAGGGGAGGAGGAGCCCATCTTTAGGGGCGGGAGGGAGCCCCTCCTGGGAGGTCTAGGCACCAGGCCTGAGACAGATTGGCTGGACCCACCGTCTATGGAGAACCTCCCCCAGCATCTCCTGACCCTGTGGGTCTTACACTGATCTGCGCGGGCATCATTGAGGAAGTAGAGGATGGGGACCAGGATATCCAACACATCACTGCTCTTCAGCACAAAGAAGAGGAATTTCTGGGAGCAAGGGAGGGGACAGGTGGGCTGGGTTAGGGGGAAGAGCAGCTCTGCCCCACCCTCTCCTCCAGGCTGGGGTGACTGGGATGCTGTTCCCGTCCTTGGGCTCTATGGATTGGACTTAATCCATCGGCCCTTTCCCTGTCTCTCCATGTCCACTGCCCACAGTCTGGGCCCGGAAGGCGCTGCCCACCTTGTTGAAGTCACAGAGCTTCCAGAAGAGAACCAGCAGCTCTTGGTGGAACTGGATCTTCTTAGTGGAGTTGGGCAGGTAGGTCTGGAGCAGGGGGTTGGACAGTAGCCGGGCTATGCCCTTGAGGATAAACTGGAAGTCCTAGGAGCAAGGATACAGCAGGGAACCTGTCCAGCACAGCTTCACTCAGCTCTGCCTTCCTGGCCCAGGCCCCCACAAATGCCCTCTTGCTCTCTTAGAGCACAGTCCACCTCCAGAGTTGGAGGAGCCAAGACTCAGACCTCTACAACAGCTGTAGTGAGGTGGACCCTTTTGGCAGCTGGGCCCCTGCAGATCACAGGCCCCCCATGTGCTAGACTCCTGCTTTGGTGACTCCACATACCCCATGAACCAGATTCCTGCCCACCTGGACTCCTTGCTCACAGGTGCCACCCTCTGCCCTGCCCTCACACTCCTTCCTATCACCCATCATGCCTGGGGGGCACACCACAGGTCTCTCAGAGCTGTCACTTACTGAGTATACACTGTGAGCTGGACTGCCCTCTGCCCAAGTCCACAGACACCATGGTCTTTCATGCAAGGGTCAGGACTCCTCCACCTTGCACGAAGCCATAACCATTGTGGAGTAGGCAGGGAGAATCAAGAGGCGTGTCTGACTCACCTCCTCACGGTGAATACGGGACAGGTAATTCACAAACAGGTTCTCAGGTCCTGGAGGCTGCCAACGGTAGGAGCCATGGTGACAGGTGCCTCATTCTGATCCCTACCCCAGCCTAGGTGAAGTGGCAGTGTCCCTGCCAAGGTCACACCCCCAGCTACACCATGAGGTGCCTCGTGAGTGTCTCATCCCTGGGTCTCTGTTAACGCAGATGCTACCCATCCATACCCCTGTCCCCCTCCTGTCCTTACATCAGCATCATCCATGGCAGTGCCTGTGGTGGTGCCATCCACAGTGGGGCCAGTGCTGGTGGCACTGTCATGGTCCAAGGTGACGATGAGCACCTGGGCAGCCTCCTCCACCAGGGGCTCCCGGTAGTCGGAGAACAGCAGGTGATTGTAGGGAATCCCATAGCCCACAGGGTCATAGGCACACACGGTGTTGAGGAGGGAGGTGAAAAGGGGCAGTGCGTGTCTGCAAGGGAGAGGAGGACAGGGCTGCAGGACATCACCTCAGGCCTTTTTGTCATCCCTAGGGCTATGTGGGAAGGGCAGCCAAGCCATCTCCTCATCCAACCAGCTCAGGTTCAGTCTGTGGGCTAAGAGCCAGGGAGAACCATGAACTTGGTCTTCCTAATCTATTCACACATCCAGCTCTGACCTGGGCCAGGCAGAGAAATCTGTTACCAAGAGCATGACGCTGGTCCCAAGGGGCTCCTTGTGGGAAGCAAGTTCACACCCCTTAGAGTCTTAGGGGCAGATGCTGTCCATTGGGGATTCAGAGAAGGGGCTGGAGGCCCAGGGAGAAGGCAGCTTCCACTTGGGGAGCAGAGACAGCTCAGTCACCCAGCTCTCAGACCAGAGTGATTTGAATCACATTTGTAAGACGTCAGGGGTCAAGCTCCTCGTCTTACAGATGAGGAAACTGAGACTCAGAGAGGTTAAACAAGGGACAAAGGTGGCAGTTTGCTGATAAGGTTGTGAGAAGGAGAACTCTGGCCAACCTTTGACTATGACCGATGGGGGTGGGGGGCATCTGGATTCCTTTCTCTTCTGTGGGAAAAGAAAAGGTTGGGCAGGAGGCCAATAAAACCTGAAGGAGGAAGTGTGCCATGCCATACAGGATCAGTCTGGGAGTAAGAGGGCCGACCGTCAGCCTTCAGGACTAACCCTTGTATTGCCAAAGCAGCCTGGGCACAGCTGGACCTGCACAGCAGGTGTATGGACTCCTCCAAATACTCCATCCATGTGGCTGTGTGGCACCTACATGTACTCACATGTGCTCCCAGAGGCCAAGTGCCCCATGGGGATCAGGCTTCCATTCCTGTCACACCCCCTTCCCTACCCACTGGCACACAGGGTAGCTACAAGCCACATGTATCTATCTTTTGAATGCTTAGAATTGTGGGTCATCTGAATTGAAGTGTCTGGTTTCTTTTTTGGAGGTACAGGGTCTCATATCTGCTAAGCAGGCACTTTACTGCCTGAACCACTCCACCAGTCCAGAATTGAGGTACTCCGGAATGTAAACCAGACACCAGATATTGAAAAAAAGACCATGAGTGAGGGAATGTAAAACATCTCAATCATTTTACAAACAGACTACATGTTAAATGCTAATTAAATGAAATATATTATTAAAATTAATTTTACTTGTTACCTTTTCTTTGGCAGCACTGAGGTTTGCAATCAGGGTCTTAGGCTTGCTAGTTTGCTAAGCAGGCACTCTTACCCCTTGAACCACTCCACCAGTCCTTTTTTGTGATGGGTTTTTTGAGATAAGGTCTCACATACTGTTTGCTCTGTGCTGGCTTTGAACCACAATCCTCCTGATCTCTGCCTCCTAAGTACTAGGATTACAGGCGTAAACCAACAGCGCCAGTCCCTGTTTCTTCTTAAATCTTCAAATCACAAGTGTGGTTCACATGTGAAAGGTAGCTTGGGATGGAGGACCTGGACATGGGTCCCCCAGGGGGTTTCCAGGCCCCACAACTACAAGGAGTTTAATGGACAGCACTGGTGTAAAAGTGGTTGAGTTACCGTTCATTGCCACCAGGGGGCAGCACGTCCCCTCAAATAATACCCATAGCATTGGCGTTAGTCTCAGCTCATAAGGGAAAAAATGGAAAGGCCAGGGGCCCTCACCTGTTCTCTGTGGAACAAAAGAACTGAACCCACGGGTTGGTGTTGCCACTTTCTGGAGCTGGGGGCAGGTACATGGCCTCAGAGAAGCAGGTCAGAAGCAATTTCAGCAGCTCCATCCTGGGGGAGGGGAGACGGGAAGAGGGTACCTCAGAACCCCAGTGCCCCTCTAGGAGTGTGCTGGCCACCCTGCCCAGCACTCCCACCCCAGTTCATGGAAAGAAATGATCTTCGTTCATCCCTGTAAGGCCGAGGTTGGATCGCAAGTTGGGAGGCTCTCCTTGGAAGACCCCGTGGGTCTCTCTGAGTTGTGCAGGAGCCCAGCCTGGGTCCAGCTCACCGGTTCATGTCATGAATATAGTTAGGCTGGGGGGAGTGAGCAAAGCCCACACCAGCCTCCCAGATGTATTCACAGCTGTCCAGGGAGTGAACATCCTCTGCTGAGTCCTGGGGACAGGGAGAGATCAGATAGGAGGTCATAACAGCAGTCACCCCTGTAATTCTGCTAAAGACAGACTGTCAAATGCCCAGGTCCTAATTTTTTTGGTGGTACTGAAGTCTGAACTCAAGGCCACCAGTTCACTAGACAGACAGATGTTCTACCACTTAAGCCATGCCCCTAGCCCTTTTTGCTGTAGGTTTTTTTCATATAGGGTTTCGAGTTTTTGTCCAGGACAGGCCTCAGACCACGATCCTCCCACCTTTGGCTTCCCACACAGCTAGGATCACAGGCATGAACCACCACACCTGTCTTGTTGGTTGAGATGGGGGTCTGGCTAGTTTTTTTACCCAGGCTGGCCTGAACAGCGATCTTTTCAATCTCCACCTCCTAAGTAGCGGGGACTTTAGCCATGAGCCACCATGCTCAGCTTGCACTGATTCTTTTATTTAATCAGCCCAATTTGAGGCAGGAAGAGAAGAAGGGAGGGGCAGGAATTGATGCCACAGTGGTGTGGAGGGGACACAGAACACCCAGGGTGGAGTCAGTGAGTAAAAGGGCCAGCCTCCTGGGTCCTAGCCCCACCCAGCTCAAGCAGGCAAAGACAAAAGATACCTATGCCCAGCCATCAGACACAGTGGGCAGGGCTGGGCAACAGCTGGCTCCTCTCCAGCTGCACCACCCACCATCTCAGCCTGTGACATGTGTGCCAGACAGCACAGCTCTCCAGGAGTACCCCCAGCCCCTGCTGACTACATACTGCAAGGGGGGGGGATTCAACTAGCCTGGCCCCAACTGAAGACAAGAGCCCAACAAGCTGGGGAGTGGTCTCACCACAGTGCTTCGCCGGTGGCTCTGGACTGTGAAGTCTGGGCAGAAGAGCAGGTCTGCGATGGCCAGGAGCAGGGACTCGGCCAGAGGCCGTGCATTCTCATCGTCCTCCTCACCCTGCTGAGGAGGCAGGACCCCTCAGTGGTAGCCAGTGAAGGAGAGGTGGCCCCAGGACTTGGGAGTCAGTGGAAGGCAAGGACAGGGCCCCAGCAGGACCCATGAGCAGAGGGATGAAGGAAGAAAAAGTAGACTTCTGCTTACTCCAAACCTCGTAAGGCTGAAGGGGACAGAGTATGGAGAGGAACTCGGGAAACAAGCAAGCCTCCCCCACTGACAAGGCTCCTCCAACTTCAAGGGCCTCAGCCCTGTTGGAAATCACTAGGCCTCACCCCTCAGCCCTTGTCTGGAGATAAATCTAGGCCTGGTGGGGTGGGGGCGGGGAGGACAGTACAGTCCCTCTGGGCAGCTGCCCAGCCCCACACCTGCACAGCCACCTCACTCTCAGCTCCCCTCCTCAGCCTACCTCTCCCAGGCTACACCCATAGGAGAGGAACTGAGAGCTCAAGGAGGTTGTGGGTGTTGACCCCTGTCCAGTGGCACCCCTATTCCCCACCCTTGAACCTTTTCAATGCCAGAAAAGATTTAGAGGAAAGTAGTCCTAAGAGGGTCCTCCCACCCGCCTTTGCCAAGGGCCCACAGACCCCTCCTCGCCCTGCCCCGGGCACTGTGGACCAGAAGAAGCCCCTCCAGTCAGGGTCCTCAAAGATGTAGGGCAGCACACGGGTGAGCAGGCGACTGCAGTTCAGGACAACCTGCTTCTCCTCTTCCGAGTGGCAGCCACTCTCGGCCCCCTGCACCAGCTTCTCCACTGCCTGCGGGGAAGGGCAGCAGAGGGAAAGTTGAAGTAGGACCCAGCACTGGGGGTGGGGGTGGGCACAGGCAGAATCCCCGCCTAGTGGGACCATCTCTGCCAATGAGGGGTCAGCCAGAAGAACCAGGAGGTGAGCAAGAGCAGCCTGGAACATCAGGAAAGCATAGCCCACCCAAACTTTGGATGGCCAAGACCCTGTAAGTAACGACACCTGTCTCAGCTTCCTCATCTGTAAATGGTGACACTGTCAGTTCCACCTCACAGAGTGAGCCACGCGAACTGACTTCCCCCAGAGGGGAGCACCAAGGGGCAGGGACACTGAGTGAAGCTACATGACGCCTGTGACCAGGGTGGGATGTCCTGGATGCATGCCCTCTCCCACTGCAGGTTGAATCATCATTAAACCACCCTGAGGAGGGTGGAAGTGACAATAAGGGACCAGGAAGCCCTCACCTTGTAGCACAGGGTGGCCAGGTTGGAGGGTGACTCCTCCCGCACTGCCCGGATCTCTGCTGCAGGCACCAATGCAAAGACATCCTGCACCGAGGTGGCTGTGTCTGCCCAGAACTGGTCCCAAAAGGCATCATCGGTGGCTTCCACAGGCTATGGGGGGGAAACCAGTGTCCAGAGTTATACAGTCCCCTTACCAACAGGGCCACAGAGAGCCTCTAGGAGGGAAGCCACAAACCAGTCAATACCCAGGAGCCTCCCCACATGGGTGAGAGACATCCTTCAGGTACCAAAGTCATCAAAATCACATTTTCAGAGAATATTAATGTGCAGAAAATGCTCATGGTTCAATGTTATGTTAAAAAAAGAGAGAGAAAAAAAAAACCACAAGCTGGTCACCAGTGGCTCACACCTATAATCATAGCTATATGGTTCAAGGCCAGCCCAGGGAAAAAGTTAGCGAGACCCCATCTCAGTGAAAAAAAGCTGGTGTGGCAGCACGTACCTATCATCCTAGTGACAGCAAGATCTGTAAAATAAGAGGATTATAGTCTAGACCAGGCTGGGCAAAAAGCAAAACCCTATCTCCAAAATAACCCGAGCATAAAGAGCTGAAGGCATGTCAAGTGGTAGAGCGCCTGCCTAGCAAGTTCAATGCCCTAGTCCAAGCCTCAGTACAGCCAAAAAGAAAAGCAGATACAGAACTAGCTGTGGGTGATCACAAGTTTGTGTTCAACTATGCAGTAATAAAAGATAGAAGAGACACCCCAAGATGTTAACAGCAATAGTCTCTCCAGTGGTTTTATAGTCTTAAGAACCTCTTACTACTTCTTCCTTTGAAATAACCATCTGTCAAGGAGCCAGGGACATTCCCTCAGGTCTGTCCCTTTGGGGCTCCTTTTCAAGGTCACCTCCTCCAAGATGTCTTCCCTGGTTGCTCCAATCAAGTCTTTTCTCTTCTCTGACACCTTAGGACTCATGAAGCACAAAGGTCCTGTGACTACCACAAGTCTTCACTTCATATGAATTGCTCTCACAACCCCCAAAATATGTGAGTATACAGGTTTAAACTATTTCACAGATAGTACTTATTTATTGAATTTGTGGTGCTGGGAATTGAACCAGGGCCATGTGCATGGTAGGCACATGCTCTACCACTGAGCTGTACCCTAGCCCTTAAAATAATCCTGTTCTCTGCAGGCTCTTGTTCCAAGAAGTCTTCCAGAATCCCAGACTGATGGTCTTGCTCCTACCTGGGAACCTCCAGCCCTGACCCCTACTCATCACGGTCCCTGCCTCCAATCCAGTGCACTTGCCTCAAAGCCCTTTGGTCCAAAAGCCCTTCTTCCCTGACCTTGCAGTTGAGGCAGTTGAGATGCCCAGCCGGCAATTGGTTCAGGTGAAGACCCTTTCAGCCTGGTCACTGGGCAGAGCTGAGGGCCATGAGGCTGTCCAAACTTAGGGCTGGGGTCATACACCTTGCCAATGTTGAGGTATATTCTGGAACACTCCCTGAACAAAAAGCCCCCCACCACATCACACCCCACACCAGGGAGCTACAGGGTAACTTGTGGCCATGTCCCTTAGGACAGGTCTGGCATGAGTATCAGTCCCAGAACTGGTAGAGCGAGTTACCTGGGGGTAGAAGAACAAGGGCCAAAGGAGGGGCTCTGGGGCTGGGGTTTGCTGGCCCTCAACGGTCCTGTGACATGCACTGGGATACAGGAGCACAAAACCCTACTGGCAGCCTGGGGCCAGAGTGGTGTGGGAACAGACATCCCAGAAAACCTGCAGAGCTCCCCGCACTAGGTACACGTCTGTGAAGCTTTCACTTCTGACATTTTGCCCACCTTCCAGATATCCACTACCCCTTAAGGAGGCAGAAGTCCAGCTGGGCACCAAATGGACCTGCCTGACCTCTGACCTAGGCATGCGTTGCATGGGGACTGAATTCAAATCAAGGATGGAGACTTAGGAAGGGCCTTAGCAGGCTCCAGAGCTGCCCAGTCTGGAAGCAAAGGAAAGGTCCCTTAAGGAAACAGGTCTCTGCCTCCCCCTTCACTCAGTTTGTGACTCCTCTCCTGATTCCACTGTGACTTAGGCACTTGAACTCAGTGACCATATCAGGATAGCCTGATGCTATAGGCATTAGCCTGGGTCATTGGAGCCCTTTAAGCCTCAGAAGGGAGGGACATGGCTCTGCTCCCACACCATGGCCCCAGCTGGCCTCCATGAAACTCAAGGTAGCTTCTAAAATGTGAACTAGTTTTTTGTTTGTTTTTGAGACAGAAACTCACTATGCAGGTTGATCTTGAACTCCAGATCCCCCCGCTTCAGCCTTCTGAGTGCTGGGATTATAAATATGTCTACTATGCCCAGCAGGCCAGTTTCTTTTAAAAGAATATTTTACTCAGGCCCTTGTTGCTAAGGCACAAAGGACTGAGCTACTTTTCTGGGAATGCAGGTATTCTTAGCCTTGCTTTGCCAGGCCCTGCTCAGGCCAGACCCCAACTCAGGCATTCTCTTGTGTGTGGGGGGGGGTGGCAGGAAGTGTTCTGTGCTGGACAGGTCACTACAACACTCCCATGCCCATACAAATGAACATATGTGAAGAAGTGTTCTACCTGGTCTGCAATAAAGAATCTTCAAACAGGTAGGATCTGGAAGAGGGTCTCAGATCAGGGAATGCCCCCCTCCCGGGCCCTACACACCCTGGGAAAGGGTCAAGAAACACAGCAGAAGCTACTGGCCCTCAGGGCCAGGGTGAGGCCTAGCCCAGGCTTGATGAGGGGGCAGGAAGAAAACAGGATGCAGGGCAGGAAAGCAGGGAAGGCTCAGGCCTAGGCTACAGGAAGGGTCTGCATGTCTGCTGCAAAGCACAGCCTCTGAGAGTCTGGACTCAGAGGTCATTCTGTGAATGACTGGCCTGAATCTCCTTGGGGACACTGAGTGGTAAGGTCTAGATGGGACCTGGTTCTCATACCCAGCCTGCCCAAACCAGATCACTAGCTGAGTCCCAGGCCTCAGCCATTCAGCTCCCTTCATCCAGGCACCCAGGCCCCTCTCAGGATTCTCTGCAGGATTCCAGACTGTCTTTAGCCTATTCTAGCTTCCAGTCCAAGCCATGAACTATCCTCAGCCGGGAAACAAAGCTACACCATCTCACAGGGCTGCAGACAGGGGGACAAGTGTACCAGAGGGACATGGTATTTAGGGGAAGGGCCTGAGCAGGTGGGAATCTAGGCCACTGCAGACTCTGTGGGACCTGGTTAATCTCATCCTGCTGACCTGGCAAAGGACCCCAGCTGCTGAATCCACCACCTTTCTCCAGCAAGGTGTCTCCTCCCCATGCAGGTAAATATGGGAGGTTCCCCTCCTCTTCCCTCCCTATCACCCCACATTGAGAGGCAGGCCCATGTGCTACCTTCCCTGCCATCCAGAGGCCTAGAACCCCATCCCAAAGTTCCAGAACTAGCCAGGAGTCATGGGGGAGTGGAGACAGCAGGTCTGGTTTCTATCAAGCACCCACCTCTCAGCTGGAACTGGACTCTCCAGAGGCCCTGGGCATTCGTTGGGCACCTGACCTTTCCAGGGTGGGGATGAGAGTGTGGGAGCAGAGGTCTGGCCTCTGGGTCTATGACTAGCTGGCTGTGTTGGGATGGCTCTCTCCATCCCACTCTAAGTGTCAAGAGCAAGAAAGAGTTCTGAGACTTCAGGATGGGGGGAGGGGAGGGAGCATGGGATCCTGAGCCCCTGTAAAGGGAGGACCCTGGGAAGTCAGGCTATATACCCATGGCCAGAGTGGCCTGGTTCAAGGAGTGAGTAGAGAAGGGGTGGGCAAGAAAGCAGTCTTGCTGGGGCCAGATCCTGTGTTGGGAACAAGGAGATGCCACTGTGCCACTTGTGGACTCAAGAGAAAGCCTAGCATGGGTTGGGTTAAAAGATACCCCCAGCTCCCTTATTAGCAGAACAAGGGCAATCCTGAGAGTCCCTCCTCACCCCTGAACCAGAGACAGATAGTACCAGCAAACACAGCCATCCCTTCTGCACAGCCAGGAGGAGCTCCTGAAGCAGTCCCCAGCCAGGAAGCTGGTATCTGTAGGCCTGGGGACAGATTCCCTTGCCAGGCTGTCCCTCTGCTCGCCACTCTTTGCGTGCTCCCTGGAAGACCTGGGCCTTCCCTGACCATAGGCATCGACCAGGGCCCAGCGAGGCCGCAGCGGCCGCCGCGCACCAGCTGTTTTTCCGACCCGGGCAGGCGCCAGCCCGGCTTTGTTTGCATTGAGTCACCCGGGGCTGTGAGTCCGGGACCCGTGGGCACCGAGGGGCAGGGAGAAGAGCGGGGCGGCGGATGGGTGGGTGGGAGGAGGTAAGGCTGGCGATGCGAGGCTGGGGGGACTGGGGGACGGGACAGGGGGCGGTCAGCGGCGTCGCGGGCTCGGGGTGTAGGCACACGTCAGCAGTGACTGTGGGGAGAGGTGTTCCCGAGAGAGGAGGATGGGGTGGGCGGCTAGGGCCAGCGGATGGAGCCCCGGATTACAGGCAGAGGAGTCCCACTCCCGCGCTGACCTCAGTGGCATCATCTGGACGAACCCATCGCTCCATCTCTGGGCGAGTCCTCTGCCCAGCCCCCGGCCCTGCCCAGCCCCCAGCCGAGCAGGTGGATGGGGAGTCTGGGGTCCCGGGGCGCACCTGCGTCTTGGTTGTGAGCTGGATCACTGCCTTCCGGAAGTTCAGCTTGGAGTCTGCAGACCCCATGTCTCTGGAGCCCGCTCCGGCCCGGCCCCCCGCTCCGACTCTGCCCCGGGCTCCAGCCCCGGCTCCGGCTCCGGCTCCGGCTCCGGCTCCGGCTCCAGCTCCGCGGCCCCTGCTGCTCTGCAAGGAGCGGAGCCGCGAACCCCGCCCGCCGCCGGGCGTCGGCCCCGCCCCCTCGTAGCCCCTCCCCGTGGCCCCGCCCCCTGCACCTGCCGCTCGGGCAGCCAGCAGTGTCTACGGCTGGTGCCCGGAACCTAGTTCCACCAGGAGACTCCGCATCCTTCAGTCAGCGTTGTCCCCTCTCCATTTCCCCCACTGTCACTCAGTCCCCAGGACCTGAATCTTCCCACCATCTCGTCCTCTGCCCCCTACCTTCATCCTTCATCCTGGGCCCGCCCGCCCGAGTTTCCTCCTTTTTAATCCGTCTTCCCCATTCTTTTCTTTTCCCTCTGAGCACTCGCACTCTTGGTTCCCCTTTCTGACCTGTCAATCCACGTGTCCAGACAGCCCCGCAGTTATTCCAGCCACAGCTGCAGGGTTGGCCCCTGGTTCTGCGGAAGGCAAGCGCTGACTCAGTGTCCCTGCTCCAGGAGAGCGGAGCGGTGGGGGTCCGGACCCCTCCTGGCCGCCGGCTTTCCTGAGAATCCAATGAAATCCATCTATTACAAGTGCGTTGAGGTGCTGATATTTACCAACACTGGGTCAATGACAGGGGCATAAGTCACAGAGTAGCTGCAGGAGAAACAAGGAAATAATTAGCCATGGTACAGCCAAATAAGCTTTTCATAGAGGAAAAGTAATAATAAGAAGATGCTGAGACTGATGACAATATCTCATCCCTATGTACACTTAGGGAAACTGAGGCTGGAAGAAGTTAGGTTTTTTTCCCCAAAACCACACAACTCTGTAAGGCAGATTTTAAAAAACAAAAAACAAAGCCAGGCACTGGTGCCCCAGGCCTGTAATCCTAGCCACTCAGAAGGCAGAGATCAGGAGGATCACAGTTCGAAGCCAGCCTGGGCAAGTAGTCAATGAGATCCAACACAAAAAAGGGCTAGCAGAGTGGCTCAAGCAATAGAGTGCCTGCCTAGCAAGTGTGAGGCCCTGAGATCAAACTCCAGTACCACAAATAAATAAATGAAGCAAACCAAGTCCAGCTTCAAAAGAAGTTGTACTTTTCCCACAACATTATCTCACATACTATGTCTGGAAACTTCCAGAGACCCCGGATGCTTCAAAAGGAGGTGACATGTAGCTTAAACAGGAATCCCCAAGATGAAAAGTGAGGAGCATGTCATCAAAGCTGAGTAAGTGTGCTGCAAAGGCAGGGTGGAGCAAAAGTAGAGGTTGGGAGGAGGGGGCAAGAATGTCACCATTTCACAGAACAGGCAGACTCAATCACAGAACAGGCAGACTTGACAGGGCACAATTAAAGGGTGGCTCTATCTTTCCTCCAGAGGTGGGCTGTCCCTGCCCTGAACAGAATCCTTGACAGACCCATGGCTTTTTAATCACTCTGAGATAATAAATGAATACTTCCTTTATTTGGCATTTTAAAAAGATTGAGTCCAAGCTGGGTGTGGTGGTTCATGCCTATAATCCCAGATTTTAGGAGGTGGAAGAGGAAGATGGAGAGTTCTAGGCCAGCCTGGGCTACATAGCAAGACCCTGTCTCAAAAAAATCTAATTCATTTTACTCAAATCACTGGACCCCAGTCCAGACCAGAGTGACATTAAAATTTTTGAATTTTAGGTCTGGAGGAGTGGCTCAAGTGGTAGAGCACCTACCTAGCAACCATGAGGCCCTGAGTTCAAACTCTAGAACCATCAAAAAAATTTTTTAAACCTTGAATCTTAATCATTACAGAAGTGGACATTGAAACCGCAATAATTATTTATGAAAATGACCAAAAAAACTGACAATACCAAACATTGATGAGGACAAAGAAGAACTGGGGTTCTCTCATACCCAAAATGGAAATTCTACTTTGGAAAATAGTCTGAAGTTTCTTAAGAAGTTAAATATACAATTACTGTACAACTCAATAATCCAATTTAGATATTCACCCAGGAGAAATGAAGACAGATCTGCTTAAAACCTGTAGGCAGCTGGGTATAGTGGCACAGCCCTGCAATCCCAGGACTCAGAACACTGAGGCACTGAGTAGGATCACAAGTTCAAGGACAACTTGGGCTATGTTAGGAGAACCTATCTCAAAAAAAAATGGTGGGGGATCAGGCAAATGTGTACAGCAATTTTATTCAGTTTTTTGTTTTTTGTTTTTCTGGTGCTAGGGTTTAAAATCAGGGCCTACATCTTGATCCACTCCACCAACCCTTTTTTTTTTGTGATGGGTTTTTTCAAGATAGGGTCTCACAAACTACTTGCCCAGGCTGGCTTCAAACTGTGATCCTCCTGATCTCTGCCTCCTGAGTAGCGGGGATTATAGGCGTGAGCCACTGGTGCCTGGCAGCAATTTCAGTCAGAAGCACCAAAATGGGAAACCACCAGATGCTCTACCAAATAAATAACAGTGCGATGACAGCAATGAAAAGGAGCAAACTGGTAGGCTGAGAACAACTCTTTCAAAATAGATAGCTTTTATACTAAACAGGAGAAAACATCTCAATTTTACTGTATCCTAGGAAAAAGGCATTGGAGGTTAGAAAAGTCCCCGATGAACTACTTTCTCAACAGCCACTTTACAGGAGAGGCAGGAACACCAACACATAAGATCCGATCAGTGTAACTTTGTATTCTTTTGAAATCTTTCTTTTCATTGTAGAACACAGCTTTGATACTATTAGAAACAAAGTGTATCCCAAGAAAATAAGTTTCAGTATTTGCACATTTTTTTAAAAGTGTGCATTTCAGGTATCTTTCTAGATCTAGAAATGGAGAGGTCTAAGAACATAATGAATACAGAAAGTTAAAATACTCTCTGTTTCCAGGTCTATTTAATGACAATTGTGAGACAGCAAAATTGAAAAATTTTTAAATTTCAACTGCTGATACAGGAGACAACAATGTAATGAATCCCAAAAGCATTGTGCTAAGTGAAAGAAGCCAGACCTGAAAGGTTATGCACATTCATTTAAATATATTTCATATAAATATCATGTATATGACATTCTAGAAGCTATTGTATACGTGTAAAAACTTTTACAGTAAACACTTTAAGAAAATGTCTGTATGCATAAAAATATTATTAGTAAATAAAACAGAGCTTTTGAACACTTAAAAAATCACTTGTCAATTTCATGGTTTTCTAGCAGGCTTTTGTGGTACTGGGGATTGAACTCAGGTCTTCGTACTTACCTACCACTTGAGCCTCATTGGGCCGAGGCTTGGAGGATGACAGAGTATATCAGTCAGGGTCCCAACTGGAAACAGCTGGAACATTCAGGCAGAATAACCAAAGAGAGTTGCTAAAATGCCATCTACCATGAAGTACTCTAGGGCTGGAAGCAGCAGGTTGCTTGGCCATCCCTATGCCTGAAGAGGCAAGGGAAGGAATGGTTGCCTGAACCCAGATACAGTCTGCCATGGGAGAGGCCCAACAGGAGCTGCAGTCTCCCAGGGTCTGGAAGAGAGGGAGACATAAAAGAGACACCCCACTTCCCTCCTCTCCTGCCTCCAATTCCTGTGCATCAGATCCACCACAGAAAGTAGAGAGCAAGGGAGTCCATTGATGCAGCCCATAAAAAGCTCAGCCCACAGGGCATGGAGCAGAATAGGAGAGACAGGAAGCAACCTATGAGAACAAATGGAAATTTCCAGCATCCAGTTATTAGAGGGAGCTAGTAGAAAGAAGCCTCAGAAGCATGTGGAGCCTGCATATCCAGGGAACAGAAACACCTGGTTGGGGTGAAATGTAGCAAGTATTGACAGATAAAGTTTGAGATGTGCACCAGAAACAGACCATAAAGGGCTACATACAGTCTGATGAGAACCTTTAATCTTATTCTATGAGCAACAAAAAGCCTTTGAAGCAAATGTGAATGATGTCATCACATGACATTAGGTCTTAGCAAATCATTCTGGCTGAACAGGAGACAAAGTGACCTGAACAGAGAAAATGAGCTGGGAGGTGACAGTTGATAAGGGCTGAGCTAAGGCAGTCACAGGTGAGATGAGAGGGAGACTGCAGGTAAGATCCTGGAATCTGGTGGCAACCTAATGTGTGCTGTAGGTACCATTGCTGCATATAACAATCTCCCCACTAAGCAGTGTAAAACAATAACTATTTTATTATATCATAAAATCCATGGGTTAGTAATTCAGACAGGACCCAGCTGAGATGATTGATCTCTGCTCCAGATGTCCTGGATCTCAGATGGGAAGACTAGAATGGATGAGTCAGAGTTAACTCACAACATCTGGGGGCCAGAAGCATCTGGAGGTATCTTCAACTCATATATCTGGGTTGGGAGAACCCAAGTAGGCTCAACTGGTTCTGAAGACAAAATACCAATACGTGACCTCACCATGTGGCTTGGGCCCTCTGAAGTAAGGAGCTGGGCTAAGAAGGAGCATCCCAAAGGATGCATATGAAAAAAGGGCGTTCCCAGAGAACAAAGGGGAAACTGTAAGACCCTTTAATACCTAACCTGGGAAGTAGCATACAGCCGGGCACCAGTGGCTCACACCTTTAATCCTAGCTACTCAGGAGGCAGAGATCAGGAGGATCACAGTTCAGAGCCAACCCAGGCAAATAGTTCACAAGACCCTATCTTGAAAAAAGCAAAACAAAAAAGGGCTGGTGGAGTGGATCAAGTTCAAACCCCAGTACTGGAAAGAAAAGAAAGGAAAGGAAAGAAAGATTACCTCTACAATACTCTATTGTTCAAAATAGTCACAGCCCACTGGATTCAAATGAAGAGGAACTAGATCCCAACTCTCTATGGAAGGAGGTCAATTAATTCAGCACCTACATTGTCAGGTGTGCCAGGACTCAAAGAGGCAGAGCCACAAGAATGGTGAGTTTTAGACCAGCCTGGGCTACTAGCAAGACTGTCTCAAAGACAGGGGCTGGAGCTGTGGCTCAAGTGGTAGAGCATCTGCGTAGCAAGCTAAAACCCTGAGTTCAAACCCTAGTACCACCAAAAAAAGGATAGATAGATAGATAGATAGATAGATAGATAGATAAAACTATCACATTGTGATT